TCCTCTATTTTATAACGCAGTAAACCATAGTGATCTAAAAACCCTTGCATGCTGATTTCAATAGATGTATTATTTCTGGATCTGTTTCAGTTTTTTTTTCCCCCTTGATTAGGAGTTACATTTTTCTGTGTCTTGCCTTCTGCTTCTTTGCTTGTTTGGTAATATTTTATTGTCTGTCACAATTCAGTTACAAAATGCTATCAAGGCTGTAGACTATTTTAGCTTCCTCTAAAGAATACAAAAATTTGTTCTGGCAAGCAGTTGTATCACTAGGAGATAAATTTGATCTTGTGAAATATGTTGAAACTTTTTGGGCAGGTCTAGTTCAGTTTAGTTTTGCCTTTTCTTTTCTGGCTGTAGTCTTAGCTGGTTAGAGATCTCAACTGAAAGTCATGGGTGTTCACTGGAATTTTTCTTCTATCTGGACTTGAATCTAATTTTCTCCACATGCAGAGAGCGGGGGGCTTGAAATCCCTACTGGCTGTCCTTTCTAGCCTGGATGCTATGCAAGACTCCCTCCAGTCTCTCCCTGAGTACACACACAGTTAGGAGCTCACAAAGGATTGAAGGAGTCCAAGGTGCTCAAAGTATGTGATTATCATACAAAAAATACTTTTTAAATAAAGAAAAAAAACTTTTTAAAAATGAGATTAAGAAAACTATATGCTTCATTTATGATAATTAATGAGCCCACACTGACATATGTCTATCTAGATATATCATATAGATATCAGTGATATATATGTTTGTGTACATATGTGCATATATAGAAATATATATATGAATGATGGTACTGTGATTTGAAGTTAGGGGATTGTACTTGCTAAGTTGGCATGCCACTTCCTGAGCCATCCCACCAATCCTACTTTTTGCTGATTATTTTTGACACGTAGTTAAACTCTTCTACTGAGGCTGCTCTCAAACTGTGATCCCTCACATTAGCCCCTCAAGCATCTAGTATTACAGGTGTGAGTCATTGGTCTCTGGTCTAATAAATTATTATTAACAAATCCATACTATTTTTAGCTTTTTTTACTTTTACTTAATGCATTTTTTTATTACAGTATACAACATAACTTTTATTTGTCATGTCTTCTTGTTTGTAATCATTTATTTCTTTCCCTGGCTTTGTTGCTGTTGGGAGGCTTTTGTTTTTTATTATTCCTTAAAGGTTTATTAACATGTGTTAGTTTTACATGTTGATGGGGTTCAGTGTGATATTTCCATACATGTTCATAACATTCGTGGATCAAATCCAGCCTCCCTTTCTCCAGCTCAAATATTTCAGATTAACCATTTTGCTTCTTCGTTGACTCTGATAGTTTTGGGACTTCCTGGACCTATGTTCTCACAGAGTTCCCTTCTTGAGATTGTTTTTTTTTTGGCTGATGTTTCCCTCACAGAGTAGGATTATAGGTTTTTATTGAGGAAGGCCAGAGACATATCCAGGGTACATTCAGTATGAAATATCATTGTTTTGACTGTCCTAATTTGCTTTATTTAACATTAAACTTCTATATTTGGTATTCACAGAGGACTGTGTTTTTATCTATGCCATGATACCCACCCCAATAGCCAATTAGCTCCCAGTTTTAGTAGGTTTGTAGTATTCCATTGTATGTCTGCCACCTTATCCATGCATTCATTCATGAGCTTTTAGGTTGATTTCCCATAATGGTTATTGTGAATAATGCTGCAGTGAAGTAGAGATATCTTCTGAGAGAATTTTATTTTCTTTGACTATTACCTAGTAGTCAAATTGATGGAAATTTATATTTTTTAATATATTTTGAGGAACATCATATTGTTCTAGTTTTCATTCCCAACAACGGTGTACAAAAGTTACCTTTCTGCATGTTCTGAGCCACCATTTTTGCTTTAAAATTTTTTTTCTAACTAGAGTGATATATCTTAGTGTAGATAGGGTTTGAATATATAGGTAAGTGCTGATCATCAAAGAAACACTTGTTCAAGACATATTTCATCTTGCTTTTCATTGTGTTGTATTGTTATAAAGACACGCAGAATTTTGAGATGAGTTCAAATCTGATCTTTGCAGATAATTTAATCTTCTAAATATATACATTACTTATCATTGTGTTTAGTCAGTTTTCATTGGTTTTTATTAATTGACTTTTATTAACAAACTATTTAATTAGCAACAGGATTTCACTATGTAGCCCACACTGGTCTTGAACAGTCAATCTTTTCCGCTCTGCCTCCTTAGTGTTGATATTTCAGGCATGTCCTTCCACTCTTGGTTTTAAGCAGTTTTTAAGTTTCCATGTTTTCTAGGAGTAAAATGATTGAATTCACTTAAGCAGAAGAAGAAAATAATAAATAGAAAAAAGAGTGTCTTCTCACTGAATCCTAATCCTTCAAAATGTAGACTATAAAGGAGCAGAAGTAATCTGAGAAAAAAACTTAAATTTTTGACTAAAATATGTAAGTTACAGAGCTGCTACATGATTTCTGAAGATTTATTCTAAGATACAAAATAGGAGTTTTTTTCTAATGCTGGGATTTCAAACACTTCCTTAAGTTTCATTTGTGACTGGGTTACTTTATTTTGACAAGCATAACCTGGTTTGTAAGGGCTAAAAAGATTTTTCTGTATATTTTTAAAAGAAGAGGCTTTAATTTTATCATCTGTGTTTTGTCTCAATGTAATGAGAGATAACAATGCATCACTGTACTTAATTGATCATCAAGTGTAGCAAATATATACAAATAGTTTGAATTTTGTTCAGTTTTAGAATCCTTATTTCTGTGTTTATGAGTGAGTGATATTACATGGATCATACATATTTTGCATAAGTATATATAACTATAGCTATATTATATATATATATATATATATTTAGGCCTAACCACTAGAATGATTTGTTGATACGTAACTTAGGCCTTGTAATATTCTGGAAAGCAGGGACATGTTTGAAAGACCATACTGTGAAACTGACTTGCAACAAACAATGCAGTCACCATTTGAGTGAGTCTTGCCATGTTCCACCACTTAGAATCCAGTCAGGAAAATGGCTGGAAAAGAGCAGCTCAGGCTCAGCAAGCTTCCTGTCATCATGCTCACAGATGGTGCTCAGCACTCAAGCTGCTAGGGAGGCAGAGGTGGGAAGGTGGGGGGGTGAGCTAGGAGAATGTTTTTTCTTTGTCCTATTCCCAGCCTTTATGCTATATATGCAAATATGAGTCAACACAATAACCAAATAGCAGTTATTGTCAACAGATGAATTAGGGGAATGATATCTCTATTATAGAGCCTTCTTTGCTTTGATTTCCTCATAATTTAGAGTACCACATGTGGTTGGCATTGAGCTAAGTGTCCATATTCAGAGATTGAATGAAAAATTCCTTATGTGCCAGAATCATCATCTAGTAGAAGAGATAGTCAGTTGAAAAGATTATTAAAATGGCTGGGTGTTGGTGGCTTATGCCTGTAATTCTAACTAATCAGGAAGCTGAGATCTGAGGATTGCTGTTTGAAGCCAGCCCTTACAGGAAAATCTGTGAGACTCTTTATCTCCAATTCATGAGCACAGAGTTGGAAGTGGTAGAGCATTAGCCTTGATCAAAAAAGCTCAAGGACAGTGCCCAAGATGAGTTCAAGCCCCAGAATTTGTGCCGAGAGAGAGAGAGAGACAGACAGAGAGAGAGAGAGAGAGAGAGAGAGAGAGAGAGAGAGAGAGAGAGAGAGAAGGGGAGAGAGGGAGGACGGAGGGAGGGAAAAGAAAAAGAAAAGATTATTAAAATCTGGTAGACCGAAGGGATTCCCAGCTGTGGAGACAGTTTCTCATCCACACTGAGCTGGCTGGGGTAGTAGCCAGGTAGCTTTGGAGAATCATGGACATCTGGGTTGAGCCACTAGTAGGAACTAGAGTAAGAAGAAGAATGTGGGGAAACTTTTCTGGCAAAGGAATCCACTGATGAAGAGGGAAACAAGCTCAAAAGGGAGAAAAGCCTGTGTAGGTGATCATTGTATGTGGCTTGCAGAACGGACTGGTTTTAAAGTTATGTCATGAATCTGGGAAAATAAAAGACTCTTTATTACCAAAGGGCAGGGTGAGACACTGTCCTGAGGTTTGAAGGTAGCCTTTAGAGGATTTTTAGGTAGAATAGTAATAGAATTAAGTCTACATTTCAAGGTGGGTATTTGAACTGTGTAATGAGAAGAAAAGACACGATTGGAGGGAGGCTGTTCACGATACTATCCTATTAACTGAGGACAGAATTGTCATGCTGCCAGGGCTCTTTGAATGGCAACATCTGTAATGCCAGACCTTGATATCTAAGGATGCAGTAAACAACAGGAAAGTAGATGCAGTGGGTTCTGGAGACACAGTGGGTTTAGAGATGAGGATGATAATTAAGTTTGGCCACCCTTCAAATAGAGACGTATCTTAGAGACCTTGAAAATATTAAGTAGCTTTGTTTCGACTTTCTCTTCACACCTTTGAGAAGCCTAAAAACCTAATTTGTAGGTAATATGATTTTATAGGCAGAAACCACATATTAGCAACTGGTAACATACCTCACTTAATGAATTTGATTGTTCACAAACAGTAAGTTTTCCCCTTCACCACTACTCACAAACAGTGCATAAGGATGTTAGAGAACACTCAGAAACAAGAGAAGACAATGTTCCCACCATCAAGGAAATATTCATAATTCCCTGGATGGCCAAAGTCAACCAGAGAACAGATATAGGGAAAAGAATTTCTTGTTTCCCTCTGTTAATATTTGAAGGTGTGTCAGTGCTTTCTTTATACTTTTGGCAGATGTTTTCATTTGGTCTATAATAAAAATGAGCTTGCAGATTCTTTTCTCCCATATTTAAAGGATGGAGAACATGCTGGTGGCTAGGGTCTGAAGTAACAAAATGCCAAGTCCAAAAAGTAGCTGATCTTACTGAATGTCTTCTTATCCAATTGAATGTATGCTACATTTTCTTTCTGTGACATAATGACTGCTTTTTCCTTTTTTTTTAGGGTGAACAGAAGCTTCAGGAGAGTTTAAGACAAGGGGCCATCATTATTGCTTCCTTAATTAAAGAAAGAAGCTCTGCACTTGTTGGTCAGCTACTAGTAGCATGAAGAACATAGGCAGAACATCACCAATGAAGCTTCTGAAAGTGTTTATCTAAGCACCTGTGTGGTGTTTGATTGCCCACCTCCACTTCTCTTGGTGTATATGCTAGAATTATAGTTATTTTCTCTATCTTGTCTTTGGAGGTTAGGGTGCTTGGATTATGGATCAGTGCTTGTATCTATGAAATTGTGTATATCATTACACAAATCGCTTCAACCAGAAAAGAGTACATGAGTGGAGAATAACTGCCTTCATATAAAGCATCTTTTCACAAAGGCCAAAAGATTTGAAATCATGATTAGTGTGAGCTCTTTCTTTAAAGAACAAACATTTAGAGTATGTCATGTATTAACTGTATGTTCATTAATATGCACACTACAATGAAGCTAATGGATAATACCATTCAGAGCTATTCTTCTTTCTAGGATTGTGCTCTTACCAGGTGAAGTTTTGTGTTGTCTTATTTTGAAATTTTCTACAACTTAAAATACAGGGTTAATGAAATGGAACCATTTGAAATAATTTCTTTCTTTCTTTCTTTTTTTTTTTTTTTTTGGTTGGTCATGGGCCTGAACTCTGGGCCTGGGCGCTATCCCTCAGCTCTTCAGCTCATAGCGCCTTTTCCAGCTTTTTTCTGCTTTTGTGGTGCTGTGGAACCCAGAGCCTCATGCATGCAAGGCAAGCGCTCTACCACTGAGCCACCTTCCCAGCCCCCCACCATTCTAAAGAATTTCAAAAGTTGCTTCCTGCTCTTCAAGAAGAGATTGTGATCATCTTCTCTTCTCTATTATTTTAAAATTGTTTTCTTTGGCTTATAAACCTATTGTTAACTTACATTATTTTGTAGAGGCTCTCTTTTTTCTGAGTTAGTTTGAAGAAGGTCTGAGTGCTAATGGCAATGGCTTACACTTACACTCCTAGCTACTCAGGAGGTTGAGATTGTGAGAGGACTGCAATTTAGTGCCATCCCAAGAGCAAAAGGCCCCAAGACTCCATCTCCAGAATAATCAACAAAAAGTGGAAACAAACTTTACAATTTAGGCGGGGGTGGGGGACAAGGGGGGTTAGGGGGGAGTGTAGTTGTGGAGATGGGAAGGAAGGGATGGTAGGGGAAAAACAAGGAGGCAACAATGCTTGATAAGAAATGTACTCATTACCTTGCTCATGGAACTGTAACCCCTCTGTACAGTATTTTCACAATAAAAAAACTTATTAAAGTAAAGTGGAGATGGAAATGTGTAAATGCCACTCAAATGGTAGAGCCCCAACTGAGCAATCAAGCTAAGCAAATGTAAAGCCCTGAGTTCAAACCCAGTACTGGCCAAAAATAAAACAAAGAGTAAAAAACACAGAAAGGCCGGAAACCCAGAAAGCAGAACAAAATCACTATCTCTGTAATAGGGTACTGCTTAAAGCATAGATTTCAGGTTAATGAAGAAATAGTCCAGTGGACAAGAAAATCTTCTGGGTATGTTAGTGTTTTCCAGCTCTGAGACACCTCTTGGCCAACACAGAGAGAGAGAGAGAGAGAGAGAGAGAGAGAGAGAGAGAGAGAGAGTGAGAGAGTCTTCCACTGTTTAGATGAGGAAGTTAGCACTCAGGATCTTAATTACCTTGCTCAGGGCACTGCATTTAAGCCTTCTTAAACTCCGGAAGACTGGGAATCAGATTTAAGCTCGTGTCCATACGTGTAACAGTTACTCCTGGAAAAGACATTCAAAAATAAAGGCTTTAAGTTAGAAGCCAAGGTTCTTCGAGAGCTGGGAGGAATGGACACTGATGGAGCCACATATCTGTCCAGAGACCAGAGGAAAGTCCTGGATCTTCTAGCTTTCCAGCCACCTTTCCAGCACACAGAATGTAGGTAGAGTTAAGCAGATGGAGGTATTTACTGTCCAAGAGGTAAAGATTTATTATTTTTTTGATCCAGAAGTAACATTACAATGATGCTTTTAATAATTAATTTGTAAATTGCATAACACTAGCAAAATTATACATTCTTTATTTTCCAGAATTTCTTTCCAAAGTTTAGTTAACTATGCTTCAGGGTGACCAAAATTGTCTCAACTCATAGGAAATTTTGGAAGTAATTTTATTTATAACTTTATGCTATTTAGTTAAATGCAGTTTGAAGATAGTCATCTTAGGAGTTCAACACTGAGTGACATGATCAATGACTTGTATTGTAAGAGGTAAAAGTTTATTTCCACTAAAGTTCTCAATGTAAGAAATGGCTTGATGTTCTATATTCCTATCCATAGATAAGAGTCAGACCTCTATGTTTTACATGGGTATGTGGTAATTGGTTTAGTAGGAAAATTGATTTTCCATATAATTTATTATTATAACTTTCATTTTTAATTTCCCATGTTTAACAGTCCTTTCATGAGAATCAAATTGCATAAGACTTTATGTTAAAAATGTAAATTGTAATGTTTAAACTCATTATGAGCTCATGGAAACATAAATCATAACATTTTTCTTTTGTCTGAGCCTGAGTGCTGTCCCTAAATGCAAATCATAATGTTTTAATTTAAACATTTAGAAAACCGTTTGGAAGAATTAAAAGTGAAGTAGTTTTAAAGGGTTATTTGAAAATAAACAGAATACATAAAACATATGTACTTAAAGTTTCTTGATGTGACTTCAAGCCTCTGCTGGAGACGTAGAATCTGGGAGAATGATGGAAATGACGTTTGAGACTTTATCTCAATGATTAGCTGAGCATAGTGACACGTGCCAGTCATCTCAGCTACAGAGGAATCTGAGATTAGGAGGACTGTGATTCTATGTCATCCCAGACCAAAACATTTTCAAGACCTCATCTCAACAGGAAAAAAATGTTGGTGTGGTACTTGTGCCTGTTCTATCAGCTACAGTGGAGAGCATAAATAGGAAAGGCTAGCTCTGGCAAAAAGTGTCATCCTATTCCCAGAATAACCAGAGCATAATGGGATGGGGCTTGAGTCAAGCAGTTGACCAATGCCTACTCAGCACAAAGCCCTGAGTTCAAACCCTAATACTATTAAAATGTTTTTAAAAGTCAGTGTACTAGAATTGGCTGTGGAGGAGTCAGGTAGTATTTGTGTTTGACATTGTATTATTTCATAGTTTCAGGTTGTAAAACTGTTTGCATATTTTAAGATGAAAAGTAAAAAGAAGCTACTTCATTTTCTAAATAGTTGTCTTTATAAAACAATATATATATTGTTTTATTGATGGATAAATAAATTACTGATATTTTCTAATCCAATGCCATTTTCAGTTATTATATATACATACATAAATATCTTTCAATATAAGTTTTGGAGTTGTAAATAAATATGATATTCTCAAAATTCAGCAACATAATGGTTTATATTTTAGACAGAATTTGAATTTCAAGTAGATTATTCTGTTAAAAAGTATTTTGGCTAGGGACTGATGACTAACATCTATAATCCTAGCTACTCAAAAGCTGAACTGCAGAGTGTCCTGTTCTGAAGCCAGCCTGGACAGAAAGGTATGAGATTCCATTTATAATTAGCAAGCAAAAGAAAAAACAGATTGGAGGTATGACTCAAGTGGTAGAGTGCCAACAATACAGGCAAGCTGAGCAAGTGTGAGGCCCTGAATTCTAATCCTAATTAGGGGGAGAAAGAGACAGAGACAAAGACAGAGAGAGACAGAGAGACAGAGAGAGAGACACAGAGAGAGAGAGAGAGAGAGAGGGGAAAGGAGAGAAAGAGAAGGAAAGAAAAAGAAAGAAAGGAAGGAAGGAAGGAAGAGAAAAAGAAAGAAAAAAAGAAAGGAAGAAAAAGGAAGGAAGAGAAAGAAAGAAAGAAAGAAAGAGAGGCCTTAAAGCACCCCAGTGTGTTACTGCTTACCGTCCTCTGCTTTTGTCATCATCAAGTGCAAGCTTAGAGTGGCCTGCTGCTTGAGAAAAGCTATGGGAACTGGATCAGGGAGCAGCCAACCTCTGAGTAATTTAAGGATGAACAAAAAACCCAGCTAAGATCAGTAAATGAGTTCCATCAGATGTGAGCTAAATGAATGTTCATTGTTTTTTAATTAGTATTGACATTTTATTTTTTTCCTGGCCCAGCAATTACTAACCAAAAAGAAAAGAAAATCCAAGTCATTGTGCAGTGTATGGACTTCACAGGCAGAATGCCTAGAGAAGAATCAATCAGAGCAATGATCTGTGAAGTGAAGGTATGAGGAGCTCCCAAGGATACCTACGCATTCAGTGTTTTTGTAAGGTGAAAAGTAGACTTGAAGAGTTTAGAAAAATGTTCAAAAAGTGACACTTCTTTGAAATCTATGGAATCAAATTATGGACATTTAAAACAATAAAAAAATTAAAAAACCCAACTAACATGTATTGACTGATCACTTGTGTTCCAAAAAAAAAACTGCTTTCAGTGTTTTACACATACATAATATATGTTGTTCTTCATAATAACTTTAGTTGCTACAGATGTCTCTCTCCCAAGATGATGCAACTAACGAACATACATGAAGTTCATTGTTTTGATGATTTGTTTTTATGCTGGTGTTAGGGCCTCATATTCTTGCTCAGCCTTTTAACATTCTGATTGGAATTCTACCGTTTGAACCATGCCTCCAGTTCAGCTTTTTGCTTGTTAACTAGAAATAAGATTCTCAGGATTTGTCTGCAGTCTTCACATCTTGATTTTTAGATCTCAACCTCCTAGGATGATAATAGCTAGGATGGTAGGTGTGAGCCACCAGTGCCTGGCACATTAATTCTGAGTCAATGAAGTAGCAAGTGGGAGAAGAAGAACATGTAGTTATCTAGCCTTAAAGCATCTATTTCTAGGCATTATATTGTAGAACATCACAACACTAACTTTTGAGAGAAGCTCTCAAAAATGAGAATTCAATTTTTTTCTTTAATATCCATACATGGGTGAAGCCTGCTACTTCTCCCTGTTTTTGTAGTCTTCCTTATCGCTACACCAACAAACCTCATTTGGATTATCCTTGGGTCTACATAGGAAACCAACGAATGATACCCCTGTAAGATTATTAATGTCTTCTCTGTGAAGTCTAAAAACTGTTTTCTCCAGCAATCCATTATGAAGAACATATAGGTAATAAAAGTGGAGGAGGAAAAAAAGTCTTGCTAAACAAGAGTTCCTGGGGCTATGAATGCTTTGCTTCCCTAGCTAGATAAGAAAATCAAACTTGATATCTGCTTATCATCCTTCAAGGGAAAGGGAAGGCCTCTAAACCTTTGCTCGAAGTGCTCAGTAATGAGAATATACATGGTCTTCCTTGCAGTGGCACTCCCTTAGTCATATTCACCAATAGTTGCTTCTGTTGGAAAAATTCTGAAGTGAGTGGTAGTCAGTGTGATGAGGATGGCAGCGTGGAGCCATGGTCTCTTCCTACCTCAAACACTGGATTTTTGATTTTTATAAATATCTTCATAGCTGAAATATGTCATCTAAATTAATTTTCTTCTTAATGAGAATGCTGCCAAGTAATATGAACAATCATTAAGGAGATAGAGGCTAGACTCTGACACCATA